AATTTTTAATGTTTATTTATTTTGAAAGAGACAGTGTGAGGAGGGGCGTGGCAGGGAGAGAGGGAGACACAGAATCCAAAACAGGATCCGTGCTCTGAGCTGTCAGCACAGAGCCCGATGCGGGGCTCAAACTCATGAACTGTGAGATCATGACCTGAGCCTAAGTTGGATGTTCAACCTACTGAGCCGCTCAGGTGCCCCAGGGTCTTTTGTAGTTTAAAATAAACTTAAGATTGTTTGTCCTAATACTGTGAAAAATACTATTGGCATTTTGATAGGGATTGAATTGAATCTGTAGATTACTTTGAATAGTATGGACGTTTTAACAATCTTAATTTTTTCAGTCCACAAACATGGTATATATTTCCACTTACTTGTTTCATCTTCTTTTTTTTTTTTTTTTTTTTTTTTTTTCATCAGTGTCTTATGTTTTTCAGAGTTCAGGTCTTTCAACTCCTTGGTTAGATGTTTTACTAGGTATTTTATTATTTTTGATGCAGTTGTAAATGGGATTGTTTCTATAATTTCTTTCTGTTACTTTGCTCATAGTGTATAGAAATATCTGGGTATTAATTTTGTATCCTGTGACTTTACAGAATTCATTTATTAATTGTAACAGTTTTTTGGTGGAGTCTTTAGAGTATTCTGTACAGTTGTCCCTTGAACAATGTGGGAGTTAGGGGCACCAATCCCAGTGTAGTTGAAAATTTGCATGTAACTTTTGACCCCCCCAAAAAACTTAACTATTAGGCGCCTACTATTGACCAGAAGACTTACTGATAACATAGTCAATTAATCCATGTTTTATGTATTACATATATTATATCCTGTGTTTTATAATAAAGTAAGCCAAAGAAAATGTTATTAAGAAAATCATAAAGAAGAAAAATACATTTACAGTACTGTACTTTGTTTATTGCAAAAAATCTGCATATAAGTGAACATGTGCAGTTCAAACCCATGTTGTTTGAGGGCCAACTATATATAGTATCATGTCATCTGCAAATAATGAAAGTTTTACTTCTTCCTTATCAATTTGGGTGCCTCTTATTATTATTTTTTGTCTTATTGCTGCAGCGAGGCCTTCTAGTACTATGTTGAATAAAAGTGTTGAGAGTGGACATCCTTGTCTTTTTCCTAGTCTTAGAGAAAAATCTTTCAGCTTTTCATTATTGAGTAATCTGGTTTTGTCATATGTGGCTTTTATTATGTTGAAGTATGTTCTTTCTAAACCAAATTTGTTTGGTTTTTTTATCATAAATGGATGTTGAATTTTGTCAGATGCTTTTCTGCATCTTTGAGATGGTCATATAATTTTTATTCTTCATTTTGTTAATGTGGTGTGTCATGGTGATTGATTTTTCAGATATTGAACCATCCTTGCATCCCTGGGATAAATCTCACTTACTTCTGGTGAATGATCCTTTTAATGTATGGTTGAATTAAGTTTGCTAATATTTTTTTGAAGAATTTTTGCATCTGTGTTTATCAGGGATATGGGCCTGTAATTTTCTTTTTTGTAGTGCCTTTGTCTGGTCTTTGTATCAGGGTAATTCTGTCCTCGTAGCATGAATTTGGAAGAATTCCTTCCTTTTATATTTTTTGGGGATAATTTTGAGAGGGATAGTTATTAGCTCTACTTTCCATGTTTAGTAGACTTTACCTGTGAATCCTCAGGTCCTGGACTTTTGTTTGCTGAGAGTTTTTTACTACTGATTTAATTTTGTTACTAATCCACTACTGTAATTGTTAGTGTACTGAAGAGTGGTCATAATAAATTGGTTTGGTAAAGTTTTTTTTTTATTTTCTCTGTTCCAGATTGCTGTGCTATGCCTTGTATGACAAAAGTCCTCTCACCAAGAATACTTTTGCCTTGACACCTGTGGACGGTCAGACTGTGTGAGTACAGCCTATCTGAATAGGCAGATTGCAGTGAATCCAAATTGGTTAAATTAGCTAAGCAAACAAAACAAACAAAACAAAACAAAACAAAACAAAGCAAAAATGATGTAATAGGTAAGACCAAAGAAAAGTATCTATTTTCTTTGTGATATAAATTCTAGATGAGGCGGAAAACTCATCTCTTTTCCCGTTAACTTATTATTATAGTAGTGTCTATAAAAGCAACAGTGAAATTTTTATGTCACCTCAGTTTCAGGGTATTTATGGAAACAAATTAGAAGAAGTTTAATGAGAAAATTTTGGGGGGATTGTTTTTGTTATTCTAAAGGGGCAAAACTCCTAAATTTTTTATGTGGCACTATTTTGCAGAAAAACACTTTGCTAAGGAGTGCTAAAGTGGCAATGAAACAGCCCAACAGAAAGAGGAAGCTTAGTATGGATTCCAAAGAGCATTTGAATCAGGATGGATGCTTGGTAAGATGTCAGTTCCTGGACCCTTCCTTCTAGTTTGTGCTCACTGTGGAAATTCAGTGTGATTGTATAGTTTGTGTAACCACAGCAGAGGTGTTTTCTCAATGGCTAGGAGCTGGTTGCTTCTGGTTGAGGTTTATATATAGAGCTATTGAATACATATGTCATTAAGTCCGATACATTTTAAAGGGTAATCTTCATTTTGAAGGTGAAAGGAGACCTTTTCTTTTTCTTTTTTTTAATCTTAAAAATATTTTAATGCATATTCTTTGAACACATTTATATGTACATATATATTTTAAACATATCATAGTGCATACATGTAAATCAGCTATTGTACTATGTATATCTCACACAACAGGGGAATCAATACAATTCTACCTACTGATATTCTGTGACTGGCCAGTGTTGTCCAAGACTTTATGCTGGTATTTACAAACATGGTGCATTGCTATAATAAGATCATTACTTCTGTGAAAAATACAAGATTTATCTTCTTGATAAATGTTTTCATACTTAAGATTTTATCAAATAAAATTTCCTTTAATGTTTTTATTTTATTTTTGAGAGAGAGAGTCAGAGCACAAGTGGGGAAAGGACCAAGAGAGAGGGAGACACAGAATATGAAGCAGGCTTCAGGCTCTGAGCTGTTGGCACAGAGCCTAATGTGGGGCTTGAACTCATGGATGGAGAGATCATGACATGAGCTGAAGTTGGATGCTTAACTGACTGAGTGACCCAGATGCCCCTCAAATAAAATTTCTAAAATAATCTCCTTTTATCTTAATACCCCATCAAATATACCACACATAGTTTATGTCTTCTTAGAAAGAGGTATTTCTCCAACTGAAGATAATTATTTGATGAATAGTTTGAAAAAAAATAATCTAAAATATGAAGAAGAAAAAAGTATTTCCCCCCCCTTACAAAATCAGTTATCTAATAGTCATTTAAGGAAGAGCTTAAATTTGATGTGGAGACATAGACTAAAAGGTTAAGAGTAGTTATTACTAGATGATTAGAGGTGCCTTTTATATTGTCTTTTCTATTTACTTAGTTTACCATAAGCATGTGTTAGTTTTTGAACTAGAGTTAAAGCTATACCTATGTATGTACAGGGAAATTCCAGAAAGAAAATCCATCAAGTATCAGTCCTGGCATGTCTTAGGTTTTAGAGACTTCTGTTTTAAAGATGAAGGTAATTGATCATTATCAAGTGAGGGATAGAGATGGTGAACTGGAGGGCGTTGTGTTTGTTGGGGTTTTGCAGAGAAACAGAACCAATGGGAGTAGCTGACAGTCCTGTCACACACTCTCTGTTCACAATCTTTGTCCCTACTTGATAATGATGAATTATATGTATATGTATATGTATATGTATATGTATATGTATATGTATATGTGTATGTGTATGTGTATGTATATGTGTGTACATGTATATAGAAAGATTTATTTAAAAGATATTTTAAAGAAATTGATTCATACAATTGTGGGGGCTGACAGGTCTGAAATCTATAGGGCAGGTTTGTAGACTGCAGACCCACAAAAGAATTGATGTTGCAGACTTGAATCTGGAGGCATTCTGCAGGCAAAGTTCCCTCTTCTTCGGAGAGGTCAGTCTTTTATCTTGTAAGACCTTCAACTGATTGGATGAGGCCCACCCACATTATGGAGATTAATCTGCTTTACTCAGAGTCTATTATTTGAATGGTTTTTTTTTGTTTGTTTTTTATTGTTAAGTTAACTAACATACAATGTAGTCTTGGCTTTAGGAGTAGATTCCTATGATCCATCACTTACATACAGCACCCAGTGCTCATCCCAACAAGTGCCCTATACCCATTTTCACCACCACTCCACCCCCCCCTCATCAAACCTCAGTTTGTTCTCTGTATTTAAGAGTCTCTTATGGTTTGCCTCCTACTCTGTATCTTATTTTTCCTTCCCTTCCTCTATTGTCATCTTTTAAGACTCTCAAATTCCACATATGAGTGAAATCATAGGATATCTGTCTTTCTCTGACTGACTTATTTCGCTTGTCATAATACCCTTCAGTTCCATCCATGTTGCTGAAAATGGCTAGATTTCATTCTTTTCATTGCTGGGTAGTATTCCATTTTGTATGTACGTATGTATGTATGTATGTATGTATGTATGTATGTGTGTATACATCTTCTTTATCCATCCATCATGGTGGACATTTGGGCACTTTCCATAATTTGGCTATTGTTGATAGTGCTGCTATAAGCATTGGGGTGTATGTGCCCCTTCGAATCAGCACTCCTGTATCCTTTGGACAAATTCCTAGTACTGAAATTGCTGGGTCATAGGGTCATTCTATTTTTAATTTTTTGAGGAATCTCCACACTGTTTTCTAGAGTGGCTGCATCAGTTTGCATTCCCACGAACACTGCAAGAAGTTTCCCCTTTCTCCACATCCTCACCAACATTTGTTGTTTCCCGAGTTGTTAAGGTTAGCTGCTCTGACCGGTGTGAGGTGGTGTCTCAGTGTGGTTTTGATTTGTATTTCCTTGATGAGCGATGTTGAACATCTTTTCACGTGTCTGTTTGTCATCTGGATGTCTTCTTTAGAAAAGTGTCGGGGCACCTGTGTGGCTCAGTCAGTTAAGCGTCTGACTTTGGCTCAGGTCATGATCTTGCAGTTTGTAAGTTCGAGCCCTGCTTCAGGCTCCATGCTGACAACTCAGAGCCTGGAGCCTGCTTCGAATTCTGTCTTCCTCTCTCTCTGCTCCTCCCCTACTCATGATCTGTCTCTCTCTCAAAAAGAA